TATATATATATATATAATATATTGCTAACAATTTATTATAATATATAATATAATAAATTGTTAGCAATTAGCTGAAATCTCCCATTATCAAAATATTAGTTGCTTTACCAGTCCTTTTTTGGTGTAAACTCCATGTTTAGAAGTTGCAGCAGTATTTTTCACTGTATTGCACAATAAATGAGGTGAATAACGAGCTTCAAAATATATCACACCACTTTTGGCTTCATCTTCACACACTTCAAAGGCAATTCGTTCAATAGCATCCTTGTCACCTCTGTTGAGGTTAAAGTTTAATTCCCAAATAAGAATTAAATTTAAAGCATAAATACTAACATAGCAGCAGCAATTCAGTCATGCAACATAAACGATAAGTCATCGAAAAAAGAGATTATTATTCTTTTAAAAAAAGTAAAACAAAAATAATAATAATATGGTATAATATTTTAAAAAAGCTAGCGAAATGAAGCTTGATTAATTACGAACGCTATAAGTGGTATGAATAAATCGAATGCTGAAAGCATTTTTGATAAATTTGCAGGTTGATGTGCAATCACAGCATCTCGTATTTCTTCAACTGTTTTAGCTCCATTTATATCAATATTTTTTTCCCTGAAAATTATACTTAAATTCTATAAAAATTAGTAAAAAGAAGTAAATAATCAAAAAGTGGATAGACAAAAAAACATTACCAAAAGTATACAAAATTCAAAAGTGAAAAAATTTCATTTATTTATTAAGCGTAATTGAAGTCTTTCATAAATTGCTTAATTACAGCTTTCAAAATTAATATATTAAATATTCAAATACACGAGAATTAAATAGCATTGCATTTTAAAATTTTGAAGTTCTTCTTTTTTCCTTTTTTGACTTTCAGTGCAAATTAACTTAGTCCTTAGATTGCAAACACTGATAATGTTATTTTGCATTATGCAATGACACAAAGCATACTTTTAATAGTAACTCAGTTTACATCGACAAAATGAAAAATTTTAAATTCATAGTGCCTAAAAATATATCTAAAAATTTTTAAATGCATTGTGAAGCAGTAAGATAAAAAAAACTTTACATGGAAAGGTCAAGTAAAGTTTGATGACGAACAGCTCCATCCAAATGTATATGTAATTCTACCTAAAAAGTAAGCTATCATTTTCTCAAAAGTTTAATTCATCAACGAGATTTAAAAGTTTGTAAAATTTCTGCTTTATAAATCAAGCATACTTTTGGGAAATTAAATTGTTTGCGAATTTCATCAATGGCCAAGGATGGGTGATTCAAGCTTTCAACACTGCAAACACTGAATATTTGAATAATCAAATTTTTATTGATCGAAAAATTAGATAGAACTAAGTAGAAAATCTTTAATAAAATATTAAACAAATAATAGAAATACAACATTAATAAATACAAACAAAATCTTAATCAAAATAAAGAACTAAATGTGAAGATAAATAATCAAAATAACCAACCCAGCCATACTACTTCGTCTTCCCTCTCAAAATGGTGCAAATTTTGAGGAATGCAAACTTTTGAAGGTAATAAAAATTACATTTTGTCTTCTTAACAATTGAATTATCACTTTTTCTTTTTCTGAAATTGCTTCCTTTTCACTTTTACAGAGATAAGACTGAAATAATTGTTATCAGTTACAGCAAGAAATAGGAATTCTTGAATTGATTTATACTTCAATGCTTTCTTAACACCCTGCACAAACATGCAAAAGACTTTATTTCATTTTCACAAATAATAAAATACAAAGTCCACGAATTTGAATTAAAGGTGAAGCCTATCCGTGAGATATCCGCTAGTAAACACTACTTTTCTATGTAATAAATTATGAGCAAAACAATATTTCATGAATTCAAATTTTTTTCTTACATCTATAAAATTTACTCACTTAACTATGGTCACTCCTGAACTTAAAAATTAAACATTGATTCGTTATTGCTTCACAGCCATTTAGCAGCTAAAATGTTTGTGTACTTTAAAAAGGGTTATGAAGAGTTAAATTATGGAATAAAAGGAAAAAAATGTAAGAGATATAATTGATAATATAGCAAGCAATATCATACATATATATATCATATATATATTTGATATTGCTTGGTTCTGCTGAATGGTTAGGCTGCCAGGTGGTCGTATCGTATAACGAAGCAGGAAATGGAGAATAAATGGAACAAAACCGAGCCTTGAATAAGTGGAGGATAAATGAAAACAAGTGGGAAACAGGAAAGGTTGTAGATAAAAGCTCCGTGAAGGATATGAAAAGCACTCGACCAGTGTACCGGAACCACCATAAATGAGTACCGAGCAAGTAGCGAAAGTGCCGGAACACGATCGAACGCGAGAAGACAAATATATATATTTACTTCAGCTTAATTTATTGCTACAAAAATGATTAAACTGGATCTGTTTGGTTGGTTGTTACAATCAGTGCAATATTCATTGATTTGTCTATTTCTGATTTTTCACTGCTCATAAAAAATAAGCATTAATCATCCATTACCTACAAAACTGAAGTTGAAATGAATTTGCAGAACCAGTCAAACTGCAGTTGGCATTTACATAACTCAATTACTTTTGCAACAAAAGCGCAGTTTTACTAATTTGGTACTGTAGTTATTTCAAATGACTCTTTTATATTCATAACATCATATTCACTTTCACAGTAATTTTACTTTTCATTTTGAAGTGTAACTGTTGCATTTAATTTTACTTACCTAAAAGACCAGTCCAAAATTAATATACTTGAGCGATTACCCTCTCAATTTCAGTTCTACTTCCCTTAGTTAGTGCATTGCATTTGGGAATACTTGAATAATCACAAGAAATCTTTTGATCAGATCATCACTTAGGACATGTAATGAAAAAATACCAGAATACTCTATGATACCAAAAAAAAGTAAAGCAGATGGAACCAAAACGAAAATATTACCATGAAAACAAAAATGGAACAAAAAGAGATGAAAAAAAAATTGGGAACAGATAAATAATCAAAAAGAATACTCTATTTGCTTTTGATCAGTTCTAAATCATCTGAAATTAGTTGCAATAAACCTTCATACTCAAATTTGTTGGGTCTAATGCGATCTAATAATCTCTCAAGTAATTGACGCTTGACATAATCATTGTCAAAACATCAAGTTTATGAACAAAGAATTTGCGATTCTTTATTCTTAAAGTTAATGTGAAGTTTTGAAAATAGAAGAATTTAAAAAGTAGTAAGTTTCATTACTTCGGCCATATTACAATTCTGCCCCTACAAAACATAAATGGATGGTTCCTATCACTCTATTTATTAAATTCATCTCAACATGAGAATAAAGTTACTTTTTTCCAACTTCAATGAAAGAACAAAACAGCTAAATACATAAAAATTGGTAACACATAGAAAATTTTCTATTTACAAAGCATATATTTGTTTTAATCTTGAAAAAAGATTGGCAAGCAACGTACAAACTAAATAGTCATACATGAAACAAAAAAAAGAGAAACAATAAAGAAGACTTTTTAAAAAACAAAAAAATAGGGACAGTCGATATTTATTTGATCCAACTATACTCGCTTACTTATATCACGCAGGTATTAATATGATCTAGTTAAAGAACTGAATTTCCAAAACTTTTCAAAACAATGAAAAATAATAACACTTCATTTTTATCTAAAGCTGAATAAAATTTAAACCTCAATTTTGATATTCTTCGAAATGTAAGAAGTCAAATTCAGATTATTTTTAAAATTTGTATTACATATATTTTTATTACAAATAAATTAATGTTAGTGATATTTAAAATTGCAGCTTTCCAACTTCTTGGCGTTACAAATATTTTCAACAGCTTTTTTGAATGTAATTTGATTAAATTAAAAAAAGGAAATATGTTTAGTGGCTTGATAGTTTTTTAAGCACTATGAAAAAAGCAAGCTTATTTCAAAGTAGAACAAGCGTAAAATTGTTCACATTTTTTCAGCATTAAAATACAGAGTTTAACCTTTACTTTAAAAAAACAGCAACTTTACTGAAGATTTAAAAATGTTAACAAATCATTCAAATCACTGAAATTTTTTATCAGTTCTTTGAACAATTATTTGATAAATTATCAATTTTTTCCATGGCTTATAATAAAATTCAAATATCACTGTCAGAATATTTTCGTCAACATCTGTTACTGTTTTTGCATTTTTTCAAAACTATTAATGTAACAAATAAATTTCATAGCATTTTAAAGAAGCATTAAACTTAATGAAATACAAGTGAGGGATGAAGAATTGTGATGATTTTATGAGCTGAAAGTTTGGTTTGGGAATTTATAACAAGCATTATGATTACTGATCTAAAGTAAAGTTATTTAGGTATGTATGCAAAATCAAAAGAATTATGAAGTATTTTTTCCTGTACTTGCTAAAGTTGATAGCAAACTAACAATTTAATTGCTTCCATTCAGGATTTTTAAAATTGCGTTTTCATAGAATATTAACAAGCGAAAAATTTAATTATTGCAAGAATATTGCAAGCAAATATTTTTAATACTTTTGTCCTGCAAAAAACAGTTTGTTAACTTTTAATTATTTAATTAAGTGCTTGCTGACTAATTAATTCTGCTTCATAAAACTAATTACTAGGCAAGCATTCAATTAAATAATAACTGAATAGGTCAGTCATTGACATGATTATATCAATATCAATGAAAGAGTATTAATCTTTTAAGTTGCAAATAAAGTTTGAGCAATAAATAAATTAGTTAAGGCATATGGCAGCCATTAACTAAATTGCTGCATTTATTTTAATAAACCAAATAGTTAAGTAATTAATTAATAACAAAAATTAAAACGATGTGCAAATTTTTGTATGCGTCCAAATTTTGCCTTAAGCTTTTCTCATCAATACCTTTCAATATATATGTTTCATCTTTATGGCTTTACTTACATGAAAAGTACTAATAACAGCGTAGCTTTATTACTTTCAATTATTAAGCAATGTTTTTGAATTCAATTGTTTTGCAAGTTGCGCAGTTTGATGACCAAACAGTTATGCAATTAATTAAAAGTGATATAATTCGAATGCTTCTGGTTGAATAATTTGTTCGATAACATGAAAGTGACAAAAAGTATACATAAATGTATATTAAATTTTTTCCTTCAGGAAATCAATAGCTTAGTGCAGCTGTAATAGCAAAATAGCGGCAAATATTAGTCGCGAAAGTAGTAGTTAGCAGTGATTTCACGCTTAGCGAAAAGGCTTTAATCATTTATTTATTTATTTATGCAGGCATGCATGTAATTTTATTAATTCATTATTATTACTATTATCATTATTATTATTACTAGTTTTATTATTATTATTATTTGTTTTCTATTTTCTTATCAATTCTTTTAAAAGTACAAGTAATTACATATGAAAATAATAACGCATATATACATTTAAACTGAACAAAATGATAAAAATTAGAAATTAACATACTCATAAAACTAAAGGAATCAATGTATTGATTAATTTTCATAAATATTTAAATTATTTGAATTCTTCTTTTAGTTTATGTTTTGCTTACTTTTTTTCAAACTTTTATTCCGCTTCTTTTTTTTTTTGATTTTTTTAAAAAATATAAATAAAACAAGGCATTTTTTTTTCGAAATTGGCATTTTGACATGTTTTATTTTGAACTCACTTTGTGGCGAATTTATTTTTCTTGCATTTTAAGCGTATTTTAATGTTTTAAAAATTGAAACGTTTTTGGGTTGTTGTTTTGCTTTTGCTCTTTTCGAATTTAACAATCTTACACACATTGTGAATTATGCAAAAGATTATTTGCCAAATCGGTTGTTATTTTTGTTGCTTTGTTTGATAAAGTTTGCTTATTGCATGCTCATTGATTAACTTTAAAGCTATAAGTTCTATGCATTTTCTTTGCTAGCTTTTTTTTGCTTTTTTATAGCTGTGAATAAAAAATTAATTATTGAAGAAGTTATTCAAAAAGTTTTCAATTTTACCCTTTTAGAATTCGAAAAAAAAATCTTTTGCAAAAATTAAATTCTCAAACTTTTTAGTTCTTTTCAAATTAAAACTTATTATAGTGAGCAAATTTTTTAAATTTATATCTCAGCATTATAATTATAAATCTTATCTTCTTTTCTCATTTGATACATTCTTTATCTTGCAGTTTTTGTGTTTTAATTATATACTAAAGGTTAATGATGCAAGATAATATTTTATTTCTAATTAAATACATATTAATATGCCAATTTTTGCATAATATTATGCAATATAAATTATTAAAAAATATCTGATTGATTTTCATAACAATCTACAATCTCAAAAATTTTCTTTTTTCTTGCCAAATAGTAAAAAAAATATATTTGATTTTTTAATGGCCTACCACAAGAAAGAAAAATTCCTGTGAATGACCAAGTCAACCTAAAATGAGCAGCTTCCTTTTTTAACTTTCATAATTATTACAATTATTATTATTGTTACAATTATTA